CAGAAAGGAAAAATCAAAGGAACGAGCTCTCACATTTTCTATCACACAACAAGCTAGATGCATTCCTCCACTTCATATAAAAATAGAGCATTCATATCAATGTTAGACTAAATTGCATATCATCACATCATTACAAAGAAAGTAATTGAAATTATACAACCAATTAATTTTCATGATTGTGCATATGTAAAAACTCAATAGAAGATAAAACTATCTATTCCTTGTCTGTCTGATATTCCACATTCTTCAAACTCTTCCATCTCTACTCTCTAGTACCAATTAATATGATACAAACCTGAAAAATTAAGATGAAAGAAAAATAATAATTATTTTAGAAAAGGTGTCAAAACTCTAGATACAATTAATCAAAGTGGAAAATACATTTAAAGAAAGCAGCTACAATATTTCTTTCTATAATATCATCAACTTCTTCAATATTATTCACTTGATTTTCATTAGTCCACTTTTCAACCTCTTCATCAATCTCATTGTTATTATTATGTGTATTATTCTTATTCGTAGGTTGACTACCAACATAAGAGTGTAGATGATTATCAAGTCTTCCAATCTCAGTATTTACAAGCTCAATATTATCCCTTTCTATACTTACTGGTGTTGACATTCTAAAAAAAATGATAATAACATTGTCAATATTATAATATATATCATCAAATTCAAGCACTAATAATATATAAATTATTGATAAAATAATATGTAATTTAATATATTTTTTTCTTTTTACAAGATTTGCAAAAATTACATGAGAATTGAAATGCAAGTAGCTTTTTAAAGTTATAAGAGAATCAAAGAACTAATATACGTCCAAATATTCAAAAGGCCAAATTGAAGGCATATGTCTAAAATGAGAACAAAGATAATAAATTACATATTTGGACACTACCAACAATATTTAGAATTGGGTCGACTGGCAAAAACGGCTCTATGACCTACCTCAAGACGAACAAATTTTACGATTAGGCCGACTGGAAATAGCGGCTTTGTGACCTCCAAAATCAGGTATTTTCTTTCTCTCCTCTCTTTTTTCTCTCATTTCATTTTTTCTTCTCTATTTGCCTCTCTGTTAGCGGAAATGAATAGGGAATTGACTTTTAAAATGCCATTTAATATATTTAATTAAGTGGATTTTGATATTAAATTAAAATAAGCTAAGGGCATAATGGTAATTATCCTAATAATTTGATTTTAGCCTAAAATATTTTTATATCCTCAAATATGGTGATCCAAAATTTTTGAAAAAATATTCATAAATTAGCTAAGCATGTCTATGACATTCCGGTGAAATCAGTTTGCAAAATGGACACCTAACAATCCCAAAATCTTACTTGTACCGACAAGTATCAATTTCTTAAGGAATTGTACTAGTGCCCAAATATTAGGGAGAAATAAGTGTAATTAAAACACAATAAAATATATGTTATGATGAAGACGGCTTGTGGTTTAAACTTATAATGACTTATAAAATAATTTTTTGATAATTGTAGGTCAAAATTTATATTTTAAATTTTAAAGGTTACTACAGGAGAAATATGACCTACCTCAATTCAAACATTATTTAGAACTGAGCTGACGGTTAAAAACTATCACAAGCAGCCCAAAATAGAGTTTCTCTAGCTAGGCGTCTGCTCAAACAGAACGGATCGGGTGGAATAATAGATTTGAATATTTTTAAGTGCACAAAATTTTCCCAGTGTCAGGGCATCACTGTTGCAGCTCCCGGGCGCTCTAGAGAAAAAAATTGCTCATGATAACATTGCAGAAATTGATAAATGAAAATTGCAAGTCACATGCATTAGTAGAATTGTTACAATTTTCAGCTAGAAGAGGTGATAGTAAGATTTTAGCAATCACTTGATAGAAAAGGCAGTATTTAGGCAGTAAAGAGAAATAAACCCTAGTGGATCGTGGACTTTAGTGGATATAGTGCAATAACGGACGTGTATATGCTAAAAAAAGCACTGGTGGGAAAAATAACGATATAATAGAGATAACAGTGGCAAACAAAAATATTAATAATAGCGGTAAGCAAATACAATAGCAGTTCACATCGTAGCAATGATTGAATCATAGATGTGTTGATTTGGACTTTAATGGACTGAGTTAAAACATTAGAAATGGGATGGATACATGAATTAATTCATGATATCTTGTATGTATATCGTGTATAGAAAATGCACCTTTATGTTAAATTTATATTTATATTGTTATCATGATCATGATAAAATGTAAAGAATTATATACTTTTTAACACATGCGTATACAATATTTATGATGTCATTATCCACTTGGACATACAGATTCTTATTTGAAACATGTAGATTATCTAAAACATGCTCAAGACATGAAATAATGACATGCATCTTTTTTGGGGTATGCATTATTGCTCAGATAGTGGTTTTTGCTTAGTATTGCCTGGAGTCGGTGGATTGGCTGTTTTCCACATGCTTCTTTTTACATTGTGAGTTATTTTTGGTTTATAAAGAACTTCATATGCTTTGTCTCCTTTGGAAGGTGCCATTAATTGTTCTTTTACTATGTTTTCTTTTCGTAAATGAAATTCAACATTGTTGGTAGTTTGAGTTTCCTTTTAGTACTTCAACAAAAACTAATTTTGTTATTTTGGGAATGAATTTGTTGTTTGTTGAAAAGAGTTGCAATATTTGAGTACATCTTCGAGGATTTTGTGTGTGCTATTGTATGTGAGTTTTTCTAGCAGGGTGTAAGTGTTGACGCTAATTTTGTGAGGATGCTCCTCCTTGTATTGACATTAGATTTGTAATTTTAAATTTAGAGACTTTAGCCTTATTCCTTTTGATCTAATTGTTTTGTGTTTGTTTTTATATTTGTGATTGAGATTTGGTAAGGTTCGTTGCTTAACAGTTTCCATGTTAGATTTTATGCAATTTTTTAATTTTAGAGACTTCTAGATTGTTGTTTGGAATTAGTTAAAAATGTTTTCTGATATTTAATAAAAAAATATTGATCTTTACTTTAAGTAGAAGTTAGGATTTTGCAAATTGTGATCATTTCTGTTTTTGTATATTTCATCCTAAATTTGCATTAATGATCCCTAACCCTGCGACACATTACATTATCTAGTTTCCCACAATTGAGAAAACCAACATATTTGCATAATCAAAGTGTCATGCATTTGTGATAGATTATCTTATTTGACATGCGAACATTCCTGTAGGGGCATAAAAATTTCTACATTAACTCGTGTAAATGGGATTTTCAATTTCATTTGTTGCTTTACCTTTTATGCCGAGCATGTATATGCTTTAAAGTTTCAATAGTAGGAAAATTGTAATCCTTTTTTCGCAGTAGAGGTTCTTGTTCTGACAGTTTTAATAGCATTTTATACATTTTATACTTGCTTCTGAGATTAGATTTTGCTTACAGGTGAGTTTGATGACGTTCTGGATGCTGCTTTCTGATTTTACTTCTGTGTGCAAAGATTTTTTTTTTTTAATACCAATTCACCCCCCTCTTGGTTAGCTTGGGCCAGTTCTATAGGGCTTAACATCCCTAACGAACTTTCACAGAAGAGTTATAGTAAATATAACACTTAAGAACAACGCTAAAAGATTTGCATTCAATGCAGCTTACCCGCAGGCAACAACAGATACATGTAATGCATACAACGGTCCTACATACAAGCAAATATAGTGAAAGTATCGCAAGTATGGTGGGTCCTCTACAAGCATGAGTAAGAAGATTGCGGCGAGTGTGACACATTTCTTACATGCAAAAAACAACGAGCTTGTGATAAATACAAGCGTCTACGAGCTACTGTAGGAAATTCATCATGCACACAACAGTCTGCCTATGAGTTAGACTGGTGATTTCTTAATGTCCACTAACAACCCACAAAAAAAATTCAATAAAGCTTGCATTGCTCAACAACTCGCTCGCAAGACGCAATGAGCAACCCGTAACACAGCGCTATGATTCACCTACAAGAAGAAGTAGAGAATTTGTAGTAAAATCTACGAAGCACTAGAAGAAGTCATCGGGAGCTCGGGCGCGTTTCGGTGCTCTGCTCTCTGTCATTTCTCCCAGCAAACTTTGCAGCATCAGTACGCTCAGGTGCATGGCATCGGGGCGCTCGAGTGCATGGCACTTGGTGTTTGGGTGCAAGGCTTCGGGAGCTCGGGTACATAGCGACAGAGTGTTGTACGAGAAAAAAATCGGCTGCATAGCATCTGAACCCAAGCCGGGGGATGACCCCCCTAGCGAGCACGACAAATTGAACTGAGGTTTGAGGCAACAATACAACGCGATTGATCAATACAATCAGATTCCACACATAATTAACAATGATTATTTTAGAGATATGTGAGAGTAATATTTATTGAAGATAAACAATTTAAAATATACCTTAGATGGCTTGGTCATTTACAGCGGATTGCAAATATGAGCTAATTAACTGGGTCAGGTGAAAGGGATTAAGATAGAAAAGTAACGTACTAAAAAATAGTTATATGTTGCATGAAAAAAAATTACATTGAATAGAATTAACTCATGCAACAAAAAATAAAAATCGTTGGAGAATAGAAAAGAGTATATTCATTGTTCAATGCATGAGTCTCCTTGGTAATATGTGTTCTAGAGAGTGGCTGGTGTATGTAGATTTAAGAGATTTTTCATGTGGCTGAACCTGTGACCTCCATATTACAATGGAGACAACCAATCCTATAGTCGTGCGCTGTCTTATGAGAATGAGC